TACTGCTAAATTGGTTGAAATAATAGGTACAGTGCGCTTTTTAAAAGTACAACACACATGTGCGTCTCTCGCTGAATAAGAGGTGCTTTCTGTTGACGACTGTATGTGGCTCTCGCTGTGAGAAACTGCTAATTACCTGCCCCATAAACACGTCACTCACTGTGAGGAGCTGATTAATTTGCCCCATATATGCGTCTCTCGGCCTTAAAGAGTTAATGTACTAACATTTAACATGGCACATTGTACAGGTACGGGCAGGTCGTGTCAGCGTATGTGAAACGCATTATAAGTTTGTTTTTGCTACACCTATCCTCACTGAAACGCGACTCATACTGCTCATACACAGCTCATTGGTGTCATGAGAAAAACCAAGGACCTTAGTAAAATTGGTTGCGATAGGTCGGTTTCGTTAAGTGAACCAATCACGTTTCATGTTGTAGTTTCACACAGACATCCAGATGTTATCATCTTTCAGACTTAAACATTTGTAAACAACAACAGTAAAACATTTCCTTAAACCAAAACATAAACATTAAATGACAAAAATGTATTAGTCACTTTCGGATTAATCAGAATTATAAGAATCACTGTTCAATGTTGTGTCCAGCTGTTTCCAAAGTTTCAGGTTGAAAACTCCGACTTAGTGTTAGCTAGACTAATAAAACTGTTCCATCAGTGTTGACATGTTCAGTTGTCAATGAGCGTAGAGATTGGCTTTATTTATAGTTTATTATTTGATCATTTTGAATTGATGTTAACTGTTTAATGAATGGTTTGAAAAATGGTTTCTCTTGTTGACCTCACCTGGACTAAAAAATTTAAAAAGTAATTGAAACTCATACTAGTAATTAGAATTGTATGGCTGACAAGTCACAGCAATTAGACATGACCCACATTAATTTCTAAATGACCCACATACTGTAATCGTATATATTTTCACAGGGTGCAATTTTTGCGGAAAGTTCACCAAAGACCTCTTAACGCGGTTGTTTTTTCCTGCATTTCAAACACCTGAGTGATGGTATACATCACAAAGTTTTCACAACCAATAGACATGCAATGATCAAAGCTAGCTGCCATAATTGAATCGTGTTTACTAAAACAATCAGAGAGAGAGGTGGGATTATACTTGTGTCAACATGACAACACCTGTCCCATATGCGAGATTAACTGACAACAAATTAAGGAAGAGTGTACACCAGTACGGTGTCGTACCTGGAAGTAGACATTTGTTATTACAGTAAAAATCCTTTGATGTTCGGCCGAGGTAGATACATGTTGTTTTAAAGGATTAATGAGATGGGTGACACTAAAACTTGAACTGGTGAGTGAACTCGGAGTTCACTAATTAGTGATATGAACTCACTAGTTCTAACTATGAACATAGTTGCTGATATGAACTCTCTAGTTAAATGACAATTAACACAATTATGATTATTTGATTGATATCAACTCACAAATTAACTATATTATTTAAGAAAATTTAGATTGATTGATATAAACTCCCACTGGGTATATATCATGGTAATTCCACCAAGAATCTATCACTGTCAAAAATGGCAAACCAGCAGTTAGACTATAAGTTTCTCCCGACTTCACGTGGTGGACGTTATCTAGTTGTTGAAGGCTTTGTGTTTCGATTGAATCGAAGACGCAACGATGCTTCATGGGCATCTTAAAGGTATGTTGTGCGTAAATGTATCTATAAATTATAATATTAAAATGGTATAAAGCTCTGCTACATTTGTTCATTATTTGCACAATTTTAGACAAATGTGCTCGAAAAGCACTTCATTAGATTTATGCAGCCATAACATTACATTAGTTTTGGTTATATCTTATTTACAGGTCAGAGAGACACTGGACAGGATGAAGATGGTGGCCAAGTCATCTCTGGGTCCGATACCGACGCTGTACAACGAGGTTCTGGCCTCAGTGAGCGATGGTCCTTGGACGGAAGAGAACAGGTCGTTCATCGCAGAAATGCCGACGTACGAGTACTTACAATAATTAGACCTAGAAATCATAAAGTAGTGTTTGTTGTTTATGAACAAGTGTTGTTCACATGGTCAAATGGTTGATTGGCTGCATTTCATGTCTTTGTTTCAATTGCATGTTGTTCCTACTTGAGTATTTGTCATGACCTCACCAAGGATATTTCGCTTGGCATGATTATTGATGCACAATATTTTTGCGCTAAAAGCGTGAAAATTTATCCCACGAGAAAATACCTACGATTACAGTAATTGGGGGCTGCTGGGCCATGACTCAAATTTTTAGAAAGGCTGGAATGATCTCTGTATCTGTTTCTTCATATTACTACAGTTCAAACATGACACATTAACTATATTCATAGGAGATTTCTATTGTGCAGCGTACATCCCTAGACTATTGTGCTGAGCAGTTTCCAAATTATAAGTAATGCTAAGATATTTTAGTTTATTACTCGCCCGTGGAAGATACTGCAGTGTAATATTTTTATAGCAATATTACACTAGTGTAATACCGCTTGACATATGACATCATAATGGTTTACAGTTATGACGTCACAATGCTGATACCTCTATCACAATGGTATTAGACCTGACTCGTGGAAAGACTCGTGGAGAGCTGAGAAATGAAAATTTCACTCGATTCTCTGCACATCATGCATGTGGACCATACAGAAAAATTATGAAGGGTTCTAGGAGAACAATACAGTGACATCAGGATCAAGGGAGATAACTCAGGGGTAGATCAGGTATACCACTAGGAATAGCTATGACTTAGTGTTAAAGAACATCTAATTTTCATATAATATTATAGTTGTGCTATAACAGATCAACTATAGTAACATGAAGATCAACTATAGTAACATGAATATCAACTATAGTAACATGAAGATCAACTATAGTAACATGCAGATCAACTATAGTAACATGAAGTTCAACTATAGTAATTGGAAAGAATTGGGTGTTCTTTCACTACTATTGAGTAGAATATATCCTTAGATTAATGTGCTATGTGGTAGGGACATTGGTTAAAATGAATGATAATCAGAAATATCGAAATAGGAAAAAATATTAGTGCTTCTTGAAATGAAAATCGTGTTAATTTCAAAAACAACACAACATTTGTTGATAAATTTCTGTGTAGACATAAGTAAAAACTAATTAAATTTTTCATATTTTGTTTTTACTAAATTTATAATAAAACAGAAAACAGAAAAAATGTATTGCAATATACTGGCATACTGGTCTCACCTAGCAGTCCAAAAAATACAATTTTATTTTTTAAATTTGAATATGGTTCAATTATGCTTCTTGACATACTCTTACAAGCGAGTCCAGTAATTCCGCGTGTCCGGTAATTCTGAGCAGCTGCAATAGCGTACTTCCGTATCGAAGGTAAACATCGTCTGCTACCAAATTTACACTTGAAATCGGGACATTTCTACAAGGGACTGGCTTTTAATAACTAAAGGTAAGTAAATAACAGTAATTGACAGATACATTGACAGTTTTATGAAAATTTGTTTTCTTCAGACTTTTAAACCTTTTTCTTCATTATTCATAATTGGATTTAAGATGAAACACTCTTCCGTACATTGATGAAGTGATTTTTGAAAATAATCTGTCCCTAATACGTTTGAATACTTCGGATCTCCAGCTGGATGTTATGCACATCAGTTGCTGCGCAGAATTGCCGGACAACAAGCGATGTCATCAGAACGCCGGTATGGTCAACCCAATGGCATAATGCAACGTTAGAATCTTATAGTCATCAATAAAACATATTTCAAGGTAAATATGATGCATACCAGCATGTTAAGTCACGTAAACCACAAAAAATAAGAGACGTTAGTTGCCGTGTTTCGATCGATGTGCTTAGGTGCGCGGAATTACCGGACGGCATTGTAATACTTTAGTCAACCTTCTAAACTATTTTAAAGAAGATGAATGAATGATCACAGTAAATCATATTATTAATGAAGAGATTCAAAGGACCTAGCTTAACTTTGCCTGTCGATAGTCTCGGCTAGCTAAAGAGCAATGATGAAGTATATCGTCAAAAACTAGACATCTTTCTTTTATCTTGGTCTCATTCCCACATCTCCTCAAAGTCAACATCACAGTTCTAATCCCAAACCTTTCATTCGACATTTTATTTACTCTCCGTCTGTATTTGACAATAAGAATGATTCCCCCATATCTACACGTCCCATATTTCTTGACAAAGTGTGATGAAAATGAAAAAATCTTTCATTTCCCAGTACCACAGTAATCCTGATTTACAAGAATGAATACTTCGCTATTCATTGTCTTCATTCACAGTTTCATACAGACCAATACATTTGTTGACAAAGAAACGACAATCAAGGTGGTCGTCCACAAATCCAATTTGTCTTCTCGACATAAATTTCCTGGCAGGGATTACTCTCATATCAGAATAGCTGAGGAATATATTTCTGATATAGACTCTGCTAATATCTATTGGAAATCCATTCACAAGAACGGGATATGTATTATGACATGAAAATAGTGATTTTTGATTAGCGAGTGTAGATGTAATTCCCAGGTGATTGAGGAGGACGTGAGTTACAAGAATAGCTGGTGTGGTGGAAATAGGGTATTGCACAACAGAAACCTTGAAAGTGGTCTCCACGTCATTAACCTAAGATTTCGGTCCTTCCAAAAGAAGCATGAAGCATAGACACTTTTGTTTCATCAAACTCAAAAGAAAGAAAATGTACAATGTTTACTATTTGCAGCAACCATCATGAACTAAACAATAAGACAAGATATGTAATTTGTCCAGGATAAGCCCCAAAAGTAGCAAGAGTTAGTTCTTAGGAAATCTTAGTTTTGAAAAGAAGATGAGCTGCTTCTTACAATTCTTGTTTGGTTCTTAAAAAAGCATGCAACTTTGGTTTAGAAAAAACTTAATTATCATCTTTCCGAGGTAACAATTATCTGGAACAAAATCCAGACATTTGATAGTATCAACTCACATGTACATACCTCCTGCAGATGGGCATCGATTGATCTCCATTTCACCCACATGTGCACCGTCTTCTGAACCTGGCGACAGCTAACAGGAAAACACCTTAAAGAACATGGAAAAAATAGCAACACTAACATGAAGAAACACTGCACCATAACAGTGAGTGAGTGAGTGAGTGAGTGAGTGAGTGAGTGAGTGAGTGAGTGAGTGAGTGAGTGAGTGAGTGAGTGAGTGAGTGAGTGAGTGAGTGAGTGAGTGAGTGAGTGAGTGAGTGAGTGAGTGAGTGAGTGAGTGAGTGAGGTTTTACGCTGCTTTTAGCAATATTTCATAAATATCATGGTGGGGACACCAGAAATGGGCTTCACACATTGTGCTCATGTGGGGAATCGATTGCTTTAACCACCCCTTACACTATAATAACAATGCCATTGTCCAAATGAGTTCAAATCATTTTGTTTTTCTGCTAGGATCTTGATGATCTGAACACTGGTTAGAAAAGGATGTTGATTTGATCAAGTTTATAAAGAAGAAGTTGGTATATTTTGTTTGAAAATGACAATACAAGATGTGAAATGCAGATTGAGTGATCATAATATATTTGAATCAGATACTTATCAATCAAACATGAGGAACATACCTTTGTGGAGCAATTCTGAAGACGGAAACCATCTACCATCACGGGACATCAATGTTGATTGAGGTCACATCTATTTTCTGCTTCTGTTACGGCCATATTGTGGTCAGGTGATATCTGCTGTGGTCAGGTCCCCTCCTTGCTCGAGGTCCAGTCTCCATTGTGTTGAAATCATGTCAACGTTGTGCTGAGATCCATCCATGCTGAGTTCAGGCCCAATCCATGTTGTGTTGAGGCCCAATCCATGTTGTGTTGAGGCCCAATCCATGCTGAGTTCAGGCCCAATCCATGTTGTGTTGAGATGTTTTTGTATTATTTTATGTAAGGGTGATTTGCTACAGCTTCTGAGACATCAGCCCAAACCGAACTTACCAAATGACTCAACACCATCACAAAAATATGATGCTTTCAAAGATTCACAAAGTTGTTTTCAGCCTTGTCAGAAAGCTGATGTGTCTTTGTAACATGTTACATGTTGTGTCATAAGCATACATAAACCTATACAGAATTGTGAGAGATCATACACAAAAAAAACACACCAAATCATGTCAGCCAATCACAAGGTCCTCATCAGCATCTAAAGTTGACCAAAACCAAAACAATTAAAGTGTTCAGCTCTCCTTGGCAACAGTCATCTGGAAAGAATATCAGGATTAGCTGAATCCCCCTCAACTAAAGTCCACATACCTCCAGCAGGTGTGCTGTGACTGGCCTCCACAACACCTCAACCCTTGACAGGTTCACAAGTCCAGTCTCCAAGAGCTTGGCAACAGCAAACAGGGATGGCTCCTGGAAATAGCATTATACAGATGCTAACACAGACTCACATCATAAATACAATTAAATTTAAACATTAACAGATTATGGTTGCACCATATGTGAAAGAGCATCAATATACACAATTGGGATACAATAAAATGTGTCAACCAAGTCAGTGAGTCCGACAACCCGATCCCGTTAGTCGCCTCTTACAACAAGTATGGGTTGCTGAAGACCAATTCTAACCTGGATCTTCACAGGTCAAATTTGGGGTGTGATCAGTGGTGGGAGCAAGTATTTAAAGTTTCAGTCTCCTTGGCTCACTCACTCTGAGGAGTAGATGCATAAACAGATGGCAGAAGAACAAGCCAGAACAAGCTCTGTAGACTTTCAGTCAGGTGAGCTAAAGAATCGTCATTCATTGTACTTTCAAATGACTGTCTCAATTACCAATGAGATCATCATCAAGAACATAATCTCAAGGCAGTTATTCAAAAAGACACAATCCATATTTAACTTTCTTCATTTTTTTCCTTACCATGGCGACAGAAGTTGACTTTTGAAAACTTTTAGAAATTAAAAAATGACTTAATATGATCTCAATTGGATCTCAAATGTTTGGCTTTATTGTCAAATGACAAAACTTTGAAATATCTTGAACATACTTAAAAATTCATTTACAATTCATCTCAATTTTGGTCAAGAAGTAACTTGTGTCATAATTGTAATGGATCAAGAGAAACACAAAACTACATCAACACAATACATGCATGCATAGAGTCATAACACAATGCTGGGTGAGTGAGGGAGTGAGTTTGGTTTACCACCACTTTGAACAGTATTGAGCCACATTACAGATTGTCTGCTTGAAAATAGAGGAAGAACCAAAGTGATGAAGGACTCTGATATTTCCCAACGAGCATGGACATAAAGCTGGCAAACCTAGAAACTTACTCAGGATTAAGTGAGTAAGAGAGTTAGTATGGTTTTATGCTGCTTTCAGCAATATTCCAGCAATATCATGGCGGATGACACTGGAGTGAGTGAGTATGTTTTTATGCTGCTTTTAGCAATATTCCAGCAATATCATGGTGGATGACACTAGAGTGGGTGAGTGAGTGAGGTTTTATGCCGCTTTTAGCAATATTCCGGCAATATCATCGTGGATGACACTAGAGTGAGTGAGTAATGTTTTATGCCGCTTTTAGCAATATTCCAGTAATATCAAGGCGGATGACACCTGAGAGTGAGTGAGTATGGTTTTATGCTGCTTTTAGCAATATTCCAGTAATATTTACGTGGAGGGGGGACACCAGAACCGGGCTTCACATTTTGCACCCATCTGCTGAATTGAACCCAGGCCGTCGGCATGACAAGTGATTGATTTAGCCACTAGGTTACCCCACCACCCCAGATAACACCAGAAATGGGCTTTACACACTGAACTCATGTGGTAAATCAAAAGTGGGTCTTCCGCGTCTGGCAAATGATTTCACCACTCGTCTACCATGCCGAAATGTAATTGGAACCAATGTGTATAAATTTCTGGCACACCTGGGGGGACACACCTGTGCAGCAAACACCAGGATGATTCAGTGACCCTTCTCCAATATAACACAATAACTAACTTCACCAGAAAGCCATGAAGAAGCCAAAGTAATAAGACAGAATTGAGACCAAAAATACTACTTTAGAAATACTGAAACACACCGAGTAAAAATCTTTACTAATATATCCTTCTGTTAACTTTGTCTCCATAAATTTGAATTTAGCATCATTTTAGCAGTTTTACTCACTATCCGCCAGAACACACACACGCACGCACGCACACACACACACACACACACACACACACACACACACACACACAAAACAAAAACAACAAAACCGCACACACACACGATCTAGATAAGAGCAATAATGATTAAAGAACAGTACGTTGCAAGGTGACCACATGAGTATCTTAGTCCTGGATAAGATATCGGTTCCTCCCTCATTGTTGTTCACTAAGACATCAACTTCTATCATATCCGGACGCCTCCATGGTGTAGTGGTTAGAGCGTCCGCCTGGAGAGCAGATAAGTCGCGGGTTCGATCCCCGACCGTGTCATACCAAAAGACGTTAAAATATGGTACTTGTTGGTCCCTGCCTGGCGCTCAGCATTAACGGGTGCAACAAGGACTGGTCGGCTCAGAGTCAGTATAATGTGTCTGAGTGGGGTATTCATGCTTCACTGCGGCATGGTATCTCAGTGGGCTAGCACTATAAAACCAGCTTCAGTCTGGGCTAGTACAAGCAGCCGCACATACACATACACACACATGCACGTCGTCATATGAGCGAAATATTCTCAAGCACGACGTTAAACCCAATTTCACCTCACCTCACCTCACCTCAATCATATCCAATAATTCAGAGATTTATGTTTTCTGTTTAAAAATTGCCCCAAAATACATAAATATACCTTACTTTTAGTACACGAAGTTCATAAAAATATCTTTTACTAAGAATACATTGGAGATTTAACCAAACTAAACAGGTGGAAAAATTAAAAGAAAACCATTTTGCCCAGAAATACATACACATGTATGAAAGAAGACGTAGAAAAATACTTCCAGTTAACCAACAAAAACATAAAAAAAAAAACCCAACTGAGCCCAAAAGTATCTCCCATATAAAAATGAATTACAAAGTCACTCTTTGCTTTCCTGTCAACAAATGGAAAAACCTGGAACATAAATCAAGAAATCGGTATGATACACTGCATCACCAATAACAGCAGAGGTACAAGAAACCGAGTTAAAACTGAACTGACACGAAAAAAACTGGACCAACGTCTACAATTCAGATGTCGTTTATCATCTCCCAATTAACCCCCTTCAGCAATCCATCACGCTTTCCACTTCTACAGACAGATGAAGTGTTGCATGTATCCATGAAGGAAAGTTACCATGTGCAGATATTGGAAAACCTATCTCCTACCGTCTCCTATTGCTACCGTGTGATGGACCCACACAGACACCCACCATGAAACAATGTATGTCAGGCTCTCGTGGGATACAGGGCACTGGTGCTTATTGGTTTTCCAGTACATATATACCTCAAAAACCATCAACTGAGAGATGGATGTTTTCTCTTGATGGTACCTCCCAAATTTAAACACACTAATCATCTTGTTTTTCTGTACTTGCCTTGGGTAAGTTTCAAGTAATTAAGTGTCTGAAATTTGAAGCGTTTTGACACAAGTGATAAGATCGAAAAAGTGGGTAAGTTCAACAAGTTCTTTAAACAGTTATCTATGTGCTGAAAGACTTATTTGTCTGTGTTTCTGGGTTTTAAAACTCAAGACAACAAGAGCTTATGTATTTTCCTCATCAATATTGAGTGAGTGAATATAGTTTTACGCTGCTTTAAGCAATATTCCAGCAACATCACAGTGGGGCACACCAGAAATGGGCTTCACACATTGTACCCATGTGGGGAATTGAACCCGGGCCTTAGGCGTGACGAGCGAAGGCTCTAACCACTAGGTCACCCCACCGCCCTGATCAATATTGAGGTAGTGAATGAATGAGTACAGTTTTATGACATTTTTAATACTGTTCAAGCAACAACATGGGGGTAGGGACACCAGAAATTGGCTTCACACATTGTACCTACCTGGGTCTTCAGCATGACAAGTCAATGTTTTAACCCCTAAGTTAGCCCATATTCCCCATGATCTTTGTATAAAAATGTCTCAATCCACTAAGCATTCATAATATTACGACCTGTCGTACTTCTATAGTTTATCATAGGCTTACAAATGTCACAGCAGTACGAACGCTTTGTGGATCTGGACCCAGTACTCTACTACAGACACTAAATCACTAAATTCTTACTCAGCACCACTCAGTCAATACCGTCAATGTGTACAGCCTATTTATGGTGTCCCCTGCTGTGGTATTACTGGAACATTGCTAAAAACAGCATAAAGCTAAGCTCACTAAGTCACTCACTCACTCAGCAGCCTTTGAAACTCATGCCAGTCAGCTTGCCGTAGACTTGTAAACTAAACTGAGGACAAGTAGAAACTTGACAATGTATTATTTGAGGGTAATAGGTATGTAGCAGTTCTTCAAGTTTCAATTTCACTGCAAAAAAAGAACTAATAAAACTTTCTCATTGGGCTTAGAACTGTTTGAAGGGTACACTTATGAAGCCGTTCTTCACGCTTCATTTTCACAACACATTGGAACTAAATAAAACTTTCTCATTGGGCTTAGAACTATTTGAAGGGTATAATTATGAAGCTGTTCTTCATGCTCCATTTTCACTACAAACCTAAATAAATAAAACTAATATATATACATAGTATATACATTGTAACCATTTTTGTCTTCTTGAGTGAGAGAGTGAGTTTAGTTTTACGCCGTACTCAGCAATATTCCAGCTATATGGCGGCAGTCTGTAAATAACCGAGTCTGGACCAGACAATCCAGTGATCAACATGATGAGCCTCGCTCTACGAGAACCGATGACATGTGTCAACCAAGTCAGCGAGCCTGACCACCCGATCCCGTTAGTCGCCTCTTACAACAAGCATGGGTTACTGAAGATCAATATTCTAACCCGGACCTTAACGGGTTTGTCTTCTTGAAGCTATCTCCGCCATATAGCTGGCATATTGCTGAGTGCGGCGTAAAACTAAACTCACTCACTCACTCTTGAAGCTATCTTGACTAGCTAGAAAGGACAAGTCAAAAATGGTTTCCAGAAGTCCACAGGACTAGTCTTAAAACACCTGAATTTCCAGTGCTATATGAGAGTAAACAAGCCATGACTGGTTTATCTTCCCAGAAGACAATTACCATGGGAAGATCAAGTAAAAGGCTTGGTTTAAGCACCAGAAACTGCAAAATACAACCTCATATTTATACTAGCTTGCATCCAGTGCATGTAAATATTTTGTAGTTATATAACACAGACTTCAGCTGGAGAACAGAATGATGGGGAACTGGCTTGGAGAGGTGTCTCTGATGACTACACA